CACTATCTAAAGATTTGCATCGAAGCGTTTATTTTTGATAGTGATTTTAATCACTGTCAGATATCATTATACTTGATCCAACTATACCACGTCACAACTGTGCCGCGACCCCCCTGTGCTGGGTTTTTTTTTTTTCTATTTATTATTAATTTTTTTATTTACAGAGTTCATTCAAAATACCAACAAAAAAAGAAGAAAAACAAATATATAAAAAATAAATGTCCAAACCATACAGCCAACGGGAAGATAATATGATATTGGACTACGCCAAAAAAATGAATGTGATAGATGGCGGAAAAGCTGTGTGGAGGGAGTTTTTGTCAAATGGTTTTCTACCAGAGAGAAGTGTAGAAAGTTTAAGAACAAGATGGCTGTCCTTAAAAAAAAAAAATAAATTGTAAAAATTTAGTCTTTTGATATATATTGAAAATAAATTATGTTTATATAATAAATGTTTGTTTTATAAGAAGGATGAATTTTTTGAAATATTTGATATTTAATTGTTTAATGCATTATAAATAAAATTTCAGAAAATATAGTGTTCAGTTACATTATAAAGTATACTTAGTACCTATTATTATTATTTATTAATAAAATTATATATGTAGAGTGTTTGATTTATCATAACTCATTCGAGTACTACAAAAATATATGCAATGTTAGAAAAATGAAATTTTATTTCTTTTAGCTACAAAAAATCCTGATATAACAGATAATTATTTCTTTTCACAATAATCCTTTATAACCAAAAGTGGTGTCAACTGAGTTATAGATTCGATGCGAAGCTGAGAAGGTATTAGTTTTACTATGATGCTTTTTATATTTTTTTGGGGTCTGTTACCAGTTATAATATAATAATATAATAAAATATAATATAATATATCAATTAAATTTAAATATAATTTTAAATTAAAACGTATGCAGGAAAAAAGTTTTGTATATTTTTCGCCTATTGCTTATCTATGAATTAAGTGAATGTAATTAATAATATTAGATTAATTTTATTGAATTAAAAAAATAATAAAAGGATTCAATTGGTAATACAATTATTGTTGTTTTATGTATTAATTAATAGCTGTGAGCCTACCAAACCCAACACAGATCATTATTGGCCAACTCAAAACTAACACATTGTGTCATTATAGCATTCTTAGTATTCATAAAGTTATTTGAAATGAAACTAATATGGTTATTCTTAGTATAATGAATTGATCATATTGTATTCGAGTATTTATAAAGAATTCCCTTTTTTGTTTTTAATATTTTATAATAGTAATATTATTTACTAATGAATGAAAGTGTTCATAATCCATTTTGGAGAAATTATTGTGTTATTTATTTAATAATTCAGAGTGTTGGTAAAATGAATTAGAAATTTTAAAGGCCAACCCAAAATGTAACAATCCATAGTTAAGGTCAAATTTATGGATGGTCTGATGTTGCTAAAATCATATTAATCCAACCCAATCAATGTTTTTATAAGAATATTTGTTGGACGATTTTAATTTAAATTTTTTGGGTCTTCAAAATTTAAATTGTATAACCTAATGCAACAAAATAATGATTTTATAAATTTTGTGACATTTTGTATTTCATATTTTGATTCCTTAGTGTTTTAGTTAAGGTTTTGTTTTTTATGTTTGTTCGTATTTGTTTTAGGATTTCTTTGCCCGCGGTGGTTCGGTCGAGTACGACGCAGACTCTTTTTGTGTGGTAAGTTGTTTTAAATATCTTTTATAATGACCATTAGATTAATTGGTCGGTGTTTTTCATCGTTCATAGGTGTTCCGTTCACTTGAAACGTTTAAAATTTGTGGCCCTAGATTCCAAATTAAAGTTGATCCAAACCATGTCAACTGGACTCGGGTTGCCAATAAAAAGCTAATTAGCCATTTTAATACTTTGTTTCTCGACGATAATAGCATAACTTATAATGAATTTGTACTCGGTAGTTTTGGCGATTGCCATTTAATAAATGTCCTCATCCGGTCAAACTGTAGTACAGAAATTCCCAAATGCAGGTATTTCTTGATTTTTTGTAGTTCGAGACTTGTTACTACTGTATGCATTTTTTTGGGTTTAGATAGCAGTTTATAACGGAAAAAGTTTACTCTGCAATAAAAACTCTGCATCAATCTTCAAAGACATATTGCACAAATAATTTGCCGGCCCAACCGCACAATGACGGACAAGTAATTGTATATAACGACGATTGGTCGGAATTTTGCGTGTCATTGATGGCCGTTGCGGCTCCAACTTTTGTAGATGTCCAATTATATTTTTATATAGCTAAGCATGGCATTAAGGATGCTTCATTAAGCACGGTAAAATATATGATCAACGAAGCAGTCAATATGGATTGCCCGCAATTGATTTGCATTCAGCTGCATTTGGCTGCTTCGAATCACGCCGTACTACTCAAAAGAGATCGGGCTACAAAAGTTGTGACAGGTGAAATTGCGTATTTTAAACCATTATTGATGAACGACGTATGTAATTTTAATGGTGGAAAAAGTTTAAAAAATTCACATTTAAGTGCCGTCACATGGGTGCAAGCCTATGATATGGCACAACATATGATTAGAGGTGGAGGCCTAGGTGCCCATTATATTGTAGCATTATGTGGTGAGTTATTATTGTTCGTTAAATGTCATAGAAATGCGTAAAATTTTTTTTTCATGTGTTGCTCTCATAGGAGATCTGAAATATTGTAAAGATTATTGTTTAAATAATATGAAAACCGGATTAGAAAACAGGATTCAATCCTACGAGAAATTCCTAATGTACAGGCAACATAATCCACAAACATTAAGGATTGAGGGGGTGTTTAGCTTTCAATCTAAACGTGAAGTTGAGGAACATTCGTGGCCTGTAAATCTAAATAAAACTCACGTTGTTTTAGTGAACGCGTTTTTGAAAGAAGATGCCATTTCGTTAATGCCCCAAGCAGTGTTCCAAAAAGTGATTGATATTTGTTTGGGGTAAGGGTGTTTTATTATTAATATTATCTTATTTAAGCGTTTGCAAATCTACTAAAAAAAAAAAAACTGTTGTTTATAGTATTAATTTATGTTCTATTATAAAAAAACATTTTCAGATATCTAAAGCAATTGAAAAATGTCCCAAGCAATTACCTTCCGTAAATGACCTAGGTAAAATATACGATTACGAATCCATAGTTGAGTATATCATTCATGGAACGACCGAAAGGGTCAATTACGATAGATTGAAACGACTCTTAATTCAGCCATCCATAAGTGGTAGCACCGTGAATGGATTAATATGGTTTAAAGAAAATTCCCATCTCCGAATAAGGAAATGTTGTCGGTCGGTCTTCACGTAAAGTTACCATGTTATTACCTATCCACTAATGTTCAATCGATAATAGATCACCTATCAATTGATAATGTCCCGTATACGATGGAAAGATGTATTGACAGATTAGTGTTGATATATGGAAATATAAGCAGGAGGTTGTGCGGCATAGGAGCATCTGTGCCTATTAAACCAAAAAGCGTGTTTAATATGAGTAGCTTAAAAAGATTAATAAATGCAGAGCACTCTTATTCGGCAGTGTTTGACGAAAACAAGCTGTCGGTGTCGGATGTGAGTTAATGTGGGTTGTTATTATTGATTTAAAAATTTTAACCTTTATAATTGTTTGTAGGTTTGTAGTACTTTTGCCCGACCGCAGCTTTTAGCTTTGAAAATGGCACTGTCACATTGCATGGAACCAACAACAAGTGTTTCCCAATGGGACATCGGGGACGAAAGTTTTGTGCACAGCATTCATAAATTTGTGCACCTGTATATGAATGTGTTTCCTGTATATTTTGTCAATAGGAATAACAATTTTCAAAAGGTGTGGTACAACATTTGCAAAAAAAAATCGGTTTGCCAATGCGTCAAAGGACTTGTACCAGTAGTAGTTGAGGAAGCAATAAGTAATAATTTGATACAAGGATATAGGCCATTTCCGGTCGACAGAAATGAGTTTGAAAAAGTGTTGGTAGCTATGGAGGAAATCAAACGTGTGCAAAATGCGCAACAAGAAATGATAAAAAAACAGAACGAAATTATAATGAATCAAAACCAAACAATTGAATGACTAAAAATACAATTAATGTACGGTAAAAGAATCGAGGAACAAGAAAAGGAAACAAGAGAAAAACCCAATCAGAGCCAAAATGAAAACCCAACCCCACCTAACCAACTGTCAGAGTTTGGACTAACAAAAGGTATGTTGTACAAAGGGTTCATTGATATTGATTAATTGAAAGATGTGATGTTACATTTTAGGTGGGTTATGTGAAGTACCAGACATGTATGTAGCCGGACCGTCTAAGATCAAGAGTTTTAAAGAGCTTCATGAAGTAGCACCAATGACGGAGTCGATAGATGCATCGTCTTCAAAAGTTGGACCCAACCAAAGTGAAAGCAACCGTGAACTATTGGAAGTCGTGCCATTAGGTATGTTAACCATTGGAATCATATAACTCAATTTTTTTTTTTTTTTTTTTTTTATTTATTTATTTATTTTTTTTTTTTTGTTATTATGTTGTAGAAGTGGAATCAGATCGTATTGCAATGGAACCAGTTGGACCCTGTAATTCCAAAAGGTCGAATATGTGGACCCTTAAGCAGCCGCCAAAAAAAAAATTGTCAACAAACAAAATTTAGTGCCAACGAAGACAAGGTAATTTTGGAATGGGCTTCCTTACACAAAAAAGACGTTGGTGGCATACGTGTGTGGAAAGATTTAGAACTATCCGGACGGTTGCCTGGGCGTACTTATGAAGGTTTGAGAAGTAGATATCGACGACTATTATCCAAATGGTAGTAACGAAAGTTAATAATTTGTACAATTAGTCTATATTAATTAATTTGTCTGTATACAGGGTGATTCATTAAGGATAAGACACTCATTTTCTCGGTAACTATTGAAAATTTTTAATTTTTGGTAAGGAAAATATTTTTTGATTCAAAAAACTCTACACTAATATGTAGTAAAAACATAATTTTTTTGATCCCTTCAAGGTTAAAAAACATTAATTTGCATTTTCTTAAATGGGAACCCCTATTTTGAATTTGTTATTATGATTGATCATAAAAATACAAACAACTTTGCTCTTACAATTTTTTTTTTCCGATCAACCGTTCGTCTGTTACAGCTTGTTAAAGTTAAATAATTTTGGACTAAATTTCTATTGTTGTTTTAATGTTTTCAATACAGAAGTCACTATTTTTCTATAGTGTAATATACACTAATTGTTATTGACCAAGATATGACAAGTAAGATAGCAATAATAATTTACGACCCACTAATTTAACCATAATTATCTATTATAATAATAATAATAGATTCAAAACGGGTCTTTACTATATTATTAATAGCACAGTCTATCAGTTTATAAGACTAACTGTAATACTTAAGAACGAATTTCTTTAAAAAACCCAACCCTTCGCCTAGTATTGTGATTCTTAAAATAATCGAATACTACGATAATGTTATCATAATCATTGCTTACACAAAGTAATCTTTTTGTTGATAAATACGAATTAAAAATTGTAGCATAACCTCATAAACTGTATTGTATTAAATACTAATTCGCCGATGTATTCAATCACGCATGATTAAAAATTCTTGTTCATTATTCAATAACACTTAACATAACCTTAGAAAACTGAATTGAGTATTAAATTAACTCGACATCTGTATACAAGCTTGCGTTGTTTAACGTTTTTGTATATTAAATGTTTAATAATGTTATATTAATTATTAATTATTTTATTTTTATATCGTTACAATTAATAAATTATATTTGAAAGTTTATTGAGATCATTTAAGGAAAAAAATGTCAAATAATAGGTAAGTTCAATTACGAAACAATGCTTATATTGATCTGCTTTGATCATTTTCTTTTATCATATAGCCACAAGGAAAATTATTTATATTGGAAAATTAACGAAACAAATTATTTAAGAAGATATTTACATTTTTGGATTTTCGGCTGTTGAAAGACAAAATTACTAAGAATTTATACCTAAATGAATGAAAACCAATATTTTTCACTTTTAAGGAAAATTAATTTTGCTGTAGTGTGTTTTGTTACTTAAAAAGTAAGTAGATATAATGATGTAATAATAGATGTGCAGTATAATTAGGGTCATATTTAGGGGAAGCTTCAGGCTCTCAAAAAAATAAGTTGACAATCTATTTATTTGCTCATATTACATTTAAATGATCATTGTAATCTTGATTTTTTTATTAATTATTTTTCATTTATGACAATATTACCCAACTATTCCTAATGAGTATAATATGCTGAATAATATTGGTATACTTAATATAATAATTTTGAAACTAGCATCTAGCGTTAACTATTTTGAATACATTTTTTTTATTAGTTAATATTTATTTAGGTAGTATTTATACTAAACTTTAATTGTTTTGTAAAACTTAATAATTTTTATAGTTGGGGAAACATTTTATTTTATGAAGTAGCTTAGTTGTAAAAAAAATAGAGTTATTAAAAACTTAAGTGTAATGTGTATGCATCAAACATATTTATAAGTATTCTATTTTTTTAGTCATATGAAAATTGAACTATGACTTAATTGAAATATTGGTTAAAATTTGATCATTAATTTGTAGTTTTAACTCTGGCAATGATTTTAAATAAAATATTGCATGAGTCTAATTTGTATATAACAATAATTGTGAAATTACATAATTGGAGTATGGGAAATAGTGAAATATTTAGTAATTTAAATAAAAAATAACTTTATTTATAATAAAATAAGTACTTAGAATTTTTCTTACATTTGTCAATTTAAAGTTTTGTATACATTTTTAAAATAAAAGATTATTAGGCATAATCAAATAATAAATTTTCAACTCTGGACAAAAAATAATAAACCTAAAGTATGTATAGCTAGTTAAAAATTTGTATGGAGCAGCTACTGAATATTAATTTTCCATTTAATAAAAATAATTTTATTTATGATTGTGTTTATATTTCACTGTAGATGTTAAGAAAATATCATGCAGCTATTTTGATAAGTTTATTAATATTTGATTAAGCATGCGTGGATTGGAATAAACATAATTTAAATTTTACTCTGTAATAATATATGAAAATTTGCAGAAATTATAATTATTATGACTTGTTAAGTAAGTCATCATCCATAAATTCTTTTAACATTATTTTTTCTATTGTAAATTAAGTTTTTAGTTACTTCTTCATGCATAATAATCTAATTAAAAATTTGTTGTTTTTAATTTTATTTTTAGTTTTAATACCTGCTGTTGTAAGTATCTGTACTTTTAAGTATGCACTTGTAATTAAGATACTTTGATATCATAAAATTAATATCCTAATTATATTAAGAAACAAAAATGATTTAATCATGATTTTGCTATTGCCATGACTATATCATGAAAAAGAGTCACATATCAANAATTTTCATGACAATATCATGAAAAAGAGTCACATATCAAATAAATGCACAGTTCTCAAAAAAATTTGAGTGAGTTTAATAAAATAAATTTTGCTTTTTAGCTATACCATTTTTATCCCATGTAAGTTAATTTAATTTGTTTTAAATTTAATTTCAGTTACAAATATGATGTCTATTGGTTTTGTATACATGATTTCTAAGCATATAACATTAGTAAGCTTTAATTTCTTCTATCAAGTATTAGAATATTGTAAGATCAATATTAGAATGAATTGTTATATTGAAATGACAGTATTGTAGTTAAATCTCTTGTATGTTAATTATTCTTATAGTATTACTTTTACTTAAAAAAATTAAAACTATTGATAATTGTTAAATTTTGAACTTAAAGTAAGGTAATGTTTTAGAGTAATACATGTAGTTATTAGAATACTTATCCGATTAAATTCAACTAGGAGTTGTAAGAAAAAAATTTGCTTAAAATTTAAGGTAGGAGTAATTGTTGTTTTAAAAACAATGTGCAAATACTTAAAACAACTATAATAAAATTATTATTTTTATACATATTATTTCTACACAGTTACTTCAATGGCTTGTTTAAAGATTTGAGCTATCAGTCAACAAATATTTTCATTATTTTTTACTTACAACTGAGAATTGTTTATATATTACTACAGTAGAACCTTGATGAGGCATAATAATTTCTGTTCCCTCGAATCTTATTTATTAAAAAAAAAAAAAAAATTTTAATAATACAAAGAAATTATTTGAAGTTTTATAATAAACTATTATTATAGTTATAAACTTTCAATAATAGTCAATACAAATTCTATCTCGTTTGTATTAACTTCAATTTTATTAAATTTCTACATATATTTTTCTATAATAGAATACATAGACAATTTTGTAGAGACATATCATTAATTTTGTTAAAAATGGAATCTATTTTGTTTCCGTCAGCCTCAATTAGGCTCATAGCGTCATAGAGACTAATTTTACCACTAGACCTATTGTGATAATGTTAATATGTATGTGTATATATATATTACATTATAAAGATACAATTTTTATTTTCTATTGGAGGGTATAATAAAAGTTTTTCTAAACAAACAATGTTATTTGCAAGGCTAGGAGCATGTATCCTACTTAACTCACTCTTGTGTTGGTGTGGCATTGATTGCAATGTATTTTATTTTATGAGGAAATAAGTAATTTTTTTTACTCAGAATGATTTTTTTTTATTGGGGATTGTTGAAATGTCTGTAGGAGAATTATCTTATATACTTGAATTTCTATGGCATTACGCATATTCTACATGAATTCATATATTACGCATATTCTGTCATGAAATAAAGTATAAAGTATAATTCTTATACTGGTGTTTCACAATTCCAAAGTAAAAAAAATTCTAAGTTGAGCACACAAAAAAAAGGTTTTTGCAAAATAATAGTAAAAAATATTAAATGTATTTTTCTGGTACACTCAATATAATTATTTGTTCAGCTAAAACTTATTTTATAGTTCAAATATGATATATATTTTTTTAACTATGAAAACTTAATCATTAACTTCTGGGTATGGAAAGCAGGTCGAGTATGTGTTATAAAAATTTTTTTTTTTTTTTTATTAGTGATAAATACAAAAAATATACTTTAAGCATAGTCTAAGAAGGCAATAATTATTTATAAAATAATAATTATATCAAAAGTTTTAAACATTGTTAATTTGGTTCGAGTTGTCTGTATGTATTTTGTACACAAGAGGTAAACTATTCTAGTTTTTCAAACAAACAAAAAAAAAAAGTTATGCCAATTTTAAGTAAAAAAAATTGAAAAAATGTCGAAAATTAGCGATTTTTAAATTTGTAATTTTTTGGGGGATTTCCTCCGTTTACGGAAAACGAGAGAATTTTTTTCAAATTTTTAGGGTAATGTCTTCGACTAGATACGATTTGTAATCTTTTGACATAATCGGTCCAGTGATAGCTAAGAAAATATAGTGACAGACACAAAAAAGAAAAAAAAAGAAAAATATCACGATAAAATTAATACCTCCTCAGCTTCGCATCGAAGTTAAAATTGGTTGTTATGACTAAATAAAAATATTCATTGTACCAGTATAATAACTGCATGGGTTACTTTATCTATTAAATTTATAATTTGATCCAAAAGTAATTTTGTTAACTAACATAAGAGGAAAGCTGTAATAAATTATTATCCTTTGTCAAAAATTTAAAAATAAAAACTGGATTGTTTAGGATCTAAAATTTTTTAGATTTAAAATATTCGCAATGTAGTATATTATAAACAATTTATAATTTGTTTTTTTTTTTACACTAGCGTTTGCTAATATTATAAATATTTCTATGTAGTTGATTAAATTTTCTTTAGAAGTTTTGTTTTTTTTTTAGTTTAATTGTATTATTGTTTTTACTTTAATATGTTTGTGTAAAAAATTATATTTAATTGATTCATTATTAAGCGTATTTTATTTTTTATCTTGTACAGCATTAATTAAAAATTGTATAACTCTGAAAGCAATATCTGTGCCAGGAATTTAAATAGTGTAGGTTTTTAAATACATTGGACATAATTTATTTGTAGTAAAATTCTAAAAATAGTTACTGAAGTTAAATCTACGATTTTAGTTAAAAACTGTAATAAATGTTAAATAAATTTAAACATGAAATAAAATTAGATATTAAATATAACATTTAAAATAATACAATTAACATAATGTACAGAGTGATTGATTAACAATGCCTCACAGATTATCTATGAAAATATAAGTTATAAACAATTTTTTTTTTTTTAATATGATTTTTGATGAGCTGTTTCACAAGAAAAATTTAAATATCTATCACCATCCCTTATAATTAGAATTTGTATCATTATCAAATAGCAACCCCACATTTTTTTTAAATATTTTTGTTCGTCATAAAAAAAATAATGAATTTTAAACAAGATATGCTACTTTAAAGTTAACGATATTTGATGAAAAATTCAGTAGTTCAATCATTATAACAAGGTATTTGATATGATAAAAATAGTTCATTTATAACAAACATACCCAAAAATTTTGAATTGTTAACGTTTATGCTAATATGACTGTTATCATGATAACCTAAGATTAGATTTTTAGACGATTACATGAGTTTTTAAGCAATACACCTAGTTTGAATATTAAACTATTTAAATTTACATAAAAAATCAACGTAATGCTTATAAAACTATTAATTTTTATATTATATTATGTGTTCAAATTTTTGGTCATTCACATCCAAACATGCTTCTATTAGCTTTTGAACCTCGTAAGTGGTAACTTTTTTAATAGTTTCTATTCGTATTTCTTTACAAACTTTAATAATTAGGCCCTTCATTTCATCTTTGTTATTTACAGATTGCTGGCTTACCAATTCTTTGATGGGTCCGCACAGAAAAAAATTTAAGCAAGTTAAATCAGGACATTGAATGATGCTACTGTTTGTGCCCATCCAATTATTTCCAGATATTTGGGTTAAATGTTGTACTATTTGAGCATTTTAAGCAGGAGCTCCATCTTGCTGCCAAAATATACTTTTTCGTTTTGTTAAAGGTTTATCCTCTAACAAAATAAGTAAATAATTTTTTAAAAATGATGATTACCTATTGCCGTAGAGATTACCTTAAAAATAATAAGGCCCTATTAATAATCTAATAATCCACATTAAACATTAATTGACCATCTATCTTGAAAGTATATTGTATTTAACAATTTTGTAAACTACTATCTAACATTAACTATTTTAAATAATTAAGTAAAATTAAAAATATTAAACTCAAAGCCACAAAAAATTAATGAAAAGTCACGGATACGTATTTTGGAAACAATGTTACCATTATCAACGCTAAACACATACTATATTTTTTGTGGCTTTGAGTTAAATATTTTTAATATTTTTTTTAATTACATTTTAATAAATTTTACAAATATGTGGCATTTAGTGAAATATAAATTTAACGTGTGGTACATTGATAATTAGAAATTTAATTTTAAAAACATTTATTAAAATATGGTTATTATTTAATACTACTATTATTCATTTAACCTAAAGTGCATATTATTTTCTAATCTATTAAGAAAATTTTGTATAATAAAAAAAATATCCACAATTCCTTTAAATATGTTCCTATACAAGTAGTGTTGTAAGTTCATTAAAAAAAAATTATTTATCTTGAAACCTAATTCTCAATTTGTGTTAAATTTGATTCCAGTTTAAATGTTGATGTCAGTTTCTTAATTTATCATCTTTATTTTATAAATAATGCATTTATTAGTAGCTTACATACCTCAATGTCGTGCAATCAATATTCTAGATACATTACAAAAAAGTTGTGATTATGATTTTACTACAATGTATAATGAACAATTATAGTATACAAACCATAACTCTAGAGCTCCTATTCCCTAGAGCATGGGTAAGTTTTAAAAAAAATGTACTTTCAAAACTTAATCTCAATTTGTTTAAAATATTATATTTTTAGATTTAATTTTGATATCTGTTGTTTAAATTGTCACTATATTTTAATAAGTATGCACTTATTAATGGACATAGAAACTTCAATGTTATAAGATCAATATTCTAATCATACATTAAATAACAAACATGATCTTACTAGAACTAAATGTGAAAAATTGTAGTATACAACACACAACCTAAAGTTTTAACAAAATTAGAGTGAGTTAAATATAATTTACTGTTGTTTGTAATTATAGCATAATTTTATTTGATTTCAGTTTCGATTTTAGATGTCTGTTGGTTTTGTGTACTTTCATTGCATACATTTGTTAATAAACTTTAATTATTTTAGTCACTTAATATAAATATTTTAATGAATTATTATTCATATTAGAATTAGCAATATTGTTGTTGTAGTTAAATTTCTTGCATGTTATTTATTTTCATGGTTTTATTTATATTTTTACAATTTTAACTAAAAAAAAAGTTAAAAATCAAACCATTATTATTAACTTAAGTTGAACTAGGGTAATATATAGATAATTGTAAGAATACATTACAATTGTAATACATGTAGTTTTTATTATACTTTTCCAATGGAATACTGTTAAAGTTAAAAGAATGAAATTTTCATTCTAAAATTAAAAGTGACAGTAATTTTTCTAAATTAAATATACAACAATTAAAAATAATAATAATAATACATTTTAGCTATCCATTATGAAATAGTTTCCTTGTTTTTTTTGGCAATAAATAAAAATAAATTAGAAATAAATCCATTTTATTTTAAGTAATAAATTTTTTTTTGCCTTTTTAATTGAGAATTGTTGAAATATCAGTTAGTGATTCAATCTATTTACTGAATACTCTATGGCATAAATTCTGTCATGAACTCAAGTATTAAAAATAATTTACTTACTGGTCTTTCACAATTATAGATAGAAATAATTATAGGTTTATTAAAATAAAAAAATTGTTGACAAAATTATGAAGAATGAATCTTAAGATTTAGCTTGTTTTAAATATTTTAAGACTTAGTTCGTTCAATCTATATGCATTATTACAAAATAAGGAAATAACATTATTGAAAAATAACAATGAAATTTTAAAAGATACTTTTTTTTTTTGAAGTACACAGTACTTTTTTTTTAAGTTGTTGGTAATTCATTTTTATTCATATAATTTTTAGTTGAACATATTTCAAATTTTTTTCTATGATCTTTTTTTTTATTTATAGTGTGTTTCAAAAATTTAAGAGATTCCAATTCTAGTTTAAATGGTACTGATACTTGCATGTTTGAATACATTTCTACAATTTTAATGTGCAATATTATAAAAGTAATAAAATGTTGAAAGTATTAATAATTTCATGACTAGCTAGTTTTACACATTCCATTGATGATGGTTTAAACTATCATTTCGGGCAACCAGTTTCCATAGCCTTTTTTTTTTCTTTGAATGTAAATTTTTGACATGGATATGGATTTAATGGTTATAGCAATATTCTGTATATCCATATGCATTTTTACAAATTTATGGAATGAAATCATGGATAAACTACTATAAAAATCTGAAATATCCTTTTTTTAAAAGAACACAGTACTTCATTTTCATTAAGATAAATAGTAATTTATTCTTATTAACAAAAAAAAAAAAATTTTAAGATCCCCATTAGACTGATTTTACAGTTATCTTTTAAACATTTTATTTCTTTAAAACTTCATCAAGTTTTTCAAATAATTTGTGCTAGTAATTAAATTTATTCAATTAAATAAATATTAAGTTAATAAAATAAAATTATGATATTTTAATGTATCATTAAGCTTTAACTGTGTTAATACTTACATGTATTACCCTTTAGTATTTTTTTTAATTTAAACTTAAAATATATTAAGTAATTTAGATAAATAAAGTGTTGTAAATTGTAAAAATAATTTTTTAGGAAATAAATGACAATTCAAAAAATCAAATTTATTTATTTATTTATATTTTTGTATATTCATTTTATTCAGAATTTTTTATTTATGCTATTGTAATCTTCTTAAAACTTTTACTTATAATTCTTATATAAAGACAAAATTGTATCTTGTTTTTTTATTTATACTTGTATATAATGATTTTTTATTTTTTAATAATTTTTATATAGTTTTTGTAATGTTATATTGTTATACATTGTACATTTATTTTATCGAAAAATAAATTTTTAGCTTCGATGCGGAGCTGAGAAAGTATTAATTTTACTATGTGGTTTTTTTTCTTTTTTGTGTGTCTGTTACCACTTTTTCTCAGCTGTCACCGAACCGATTTCTTTCAATGATACGTCAAAAGATCACAAATCGTATTTAGTCGAAGACATTACCCTCAAAAATTGAAAAAAATTCCTTCGTTCTCCGTAAATGGGGTAAATTTCCAAAAAAATTACAAATTTAAAAATCGCTCATTTTCGAAATTTTTTCAATTTTTTTTACTTAAAATTACTATAACTTTTTTAAAAATAACCAAATCAATATAATTTTTTTATATAGATGCATGATATCATTACCTTTCATTTAGTATACTTTTTTTTTATAGCTGACCCTTTACCTGGCCACAGGAGAGGATTTAAAATAACAACTTTTTCACAAAAAATTATTTTTTTCAACTTGACTTTTGAAAATGTTCCGGAAAGTCTGACACTTTTATATATCTTAAATTAAAGCTAATGTAATATACTATAAAAAAAAAAATTTCGGACTTTATTTTATCTTCACGGTGAAAATGGTTACCGAATGCTATTTTTGTGTGAAAATTTTCGATTTTGTATTTTCCATTTTTAACTTTATTATGCTATAACTTTTTGAAAAATGTATTGATCAATATAATTCTTTTTTTTAATAGATCAACATAATTTTTCTATGAGTAATACTATTTTTTAATAATCCCTTTTTTATTCGACATACTTTATCTTAATCAGGATATTAATAAGGAACTAGCAGATTATGTAGCTTTTGGAATAATCCAACAATTTTTTAAAATTAAACACTAAAGATTTGCATCGAAGCGTTTTTTTTTTATAGTGATTTTAATCACTGTCAAATATCATTATACTTGATCCAGCTATGCCACGTCACCACTGTGCCGTGACCCCCCAGTGATGGGGGGTTTTTTTTTGAGTGGAGCTTACTTTAGCTTAAACTTTTTGTAAAAAAAATAAGCTATTCATTGTGATATTTTTGGGTGGTAATCACTGCTCTTACTCATACAATGTTACACTGACATTTTTTATCTATTCGTTTGTTACAAACATAATATAGCGTCCAAAACACGAGTATGTCTGTATTCAGGAGCGTAATTNCCACGTCACCACTGTGCCGCGACCCCCCAGTGATGGGGGGTTTTTTTTTGAGTGGAGCTTACTTTTGCTTAAACTTTTTATAAAAAAAATAAGCTATTCATTGTGATATTTTTGGGTGGTAATCACTGCTCTTACTCATACAATGTTATACTGACATTTTTTATCTATTCGTTTGTTACAAACATAATATAGCGTCCAAAACACGAGTATGTCTGTATTCAGGAGCGTAATTTTAGGATTCGCAAAAATTGTTTTAATTTACTGCGAGGTTATCGTCGCTTCTTACTTCTTTATAACCAAATTTGAGTTTCTATCATAAGGGTAAAAAAGGGGAAGGGCCAAATAAAATATAAAAACATTTTTTGTGGTTTAGATATATTTTATTAAAAAATATATTAAACAGCTTACAGTTAACACGGCCCCTGTTTTACTTATAAAAATAAGCCCCAAAAATTTGCTTTGAATTAATTTATAATTTACTGCAGCCTTTTTTTAATTGCACTTTAAAAATTTGTTTATTTTGATTTTTACTAGCAGATTTATTAGAGGTCTGTTAAATTTACTATTTATAATGATATACTAAGCACAATTTTTAAATTATGGGAATATTTTGATTATACAGTAAAGTATTTATAAATGTAAACTGAATAAGTGTTTTATATGGGACAATGTGGTGTAAGATGCATTTCACTTTGGTGTTACACTAAAGTGTATTACAAACGTTTCGTCTGTTATATTTAATGCAAGACGACAGCATGAATAGAAATATGAGCTTTTTATAATAGGGGAAATACGGTACTTAAAAGAATTAATATTAAATGAATGCCTTTTGGTCATTTATTTTCATTATAATTAATGAATCTATTTTTACAATTTTATGTACACAATATGTAATTATCTACATTTTATAATTACTCACATTTAAAAGGAAATTATTATCATGAGTTGGAATTTTCAAGTATTCGTTATAAAATGGACTTAGTTTGTTATAGAACTTCGTAGAGTTAGTTAATTTAGGATATAATTCAACATTGTCTTTCTTTTTAATAATTGTTACTCGTTTTTTATTTTTAATAAATAAATAATGGACGACAATATGCTAAGTTTGTACGATGCGTACAAAATTGCAGATCCTCAATATTCAGGATCTGAATTAGAATATTATAAAATGGTAGCCGAAAGTTCAGAAACTTATATAAATGAGAACACTCAAATGAAACAAGTATGTAATATCACCATAAATATTATTATGTACTCATGTTTATTTGGGCGCCAGGAATTATACGGAATTTTCGATTTTTTCCCAGGTCTGGTCTGTTTTATTTTAAAAAGCCAAAAAATTATTTTTGTAAAATTTGAGAAATAATCACTTAGTTTTTTTTTTGTAAAAATCTAAATTCGAAACTATTACTTATTTTTTTACTATTTTGCTTTTTGAACTTTAAACATTGTTGATGATGAAAAATGAGAGAACATTTTTATAGTATACAATGATTTCCTATTTCTTTCATCCTTTAAGTTTTTTGTATTTTTATTGCTTGATTAGATATTAGAGATAACTCAAATATTAAAGTCGATTTTCGGAAAAATTCGTAAAATTCCTAGCACATAAATGTTTAATAATATCTTTATACGATTTTTCGCAGAGAATTCATATGTTGGAACAAAAAGTTTTATCTTTATGCAATGACATAGAAACATTAAATGAGGAGAAAGGCACCACACAAGAAGAAAATGTGAGTGTTTTTTATATTAAATACGTTATTGATTGCATCATTTTTTAATCCCCGTGTTCTTTTTTCAATTTATGACAGTTTTAGTCAATTAATTGACTAATTTCGCTCATTAACTGGTATATTATAACCAAAAATATTTTTTTCTAGTTGCGCTGATACTCATAAAACCTTTACAAAAAAAAAAAATGTATGATTAAATATAATTAAAAGAAAATTATTACATTAATTGGAATTTTATTTTTAGGAGAAAAGGGTTCGAACGTAATTTTTTTTCATTGGTTTTTTTCCGTCAATTCTATTACTTGCGTTTAAGCTAATGCGTATAAGATTTACCGCGTATTTTTGTAACTCTATAATGAAGTCGTAGAGTTTTTAGTAGTAATCAGTTAGTTTAATTAAAATATTTAAATATCTACATAATTTCATGACAATTTAAATTTTTATAAAGTTAATTTTTAAATAGTTTGTAAGTAAAAAAAATAGGGTATCAAAAAAAAAAAAATGTAGTGGAGACGTCGCCAAATTTCTGAATGTCTCTGCGATGCCCATATGAGCGTTGTTTAAACCTAAACTGGATTAACACTAGTAATTAGTAATGTTAGTCTAGTTTTGGTTTTGATTTTACATTTCTACAAGACCCAATTTTGCTCATCACAATTCACTATGAAGTGTCTCCTTACATTTCCACAAACTTTTAAGAATTAAAGATTTTTTTTGTTGGACTACTATTAAATACAAGCCATTAATATAAAAGTAGTAAGATATATTGTTTTTCTTTCCACAATAAACATTTATTCTAAATGGAATTATTTTTCTATAGATACTTAAAATCAAATTGGCTATAATTAGAGTTCCGCTTAGTGGTTTAGCATGGTAATATTAAATAACTTACTGTTTTCAGTTCAATATTTTTTTTAATACGATATATTGCTTAGTTTTAAATACAATATTACGCGATGCGAGTTTACAAAATCATTAGAATTTTTCAAAATAGATTTTATTTATAACTTGAATTTACATGATAATATACAATATATGAATGTATATGACAATATGATTTCTAGAAAATATGTATTATTTCTAATAACAATTTATACTATAAAAATATACGATTATAAGATGCAGAAGTGTATTTACAAGGGAAAGTAGTTAACCACCCAGAGTCAGAAACTAAATCAAACAAAAATATTCAGTGTCATAACAGTAAAAAATCCAAACTTTTATTACTCTTANGACGTAACTAAAATATTTTTTTGGAGGAATAATAATGTTAAATCATTTTCATGACTCTAAAAAATCCAAACTTTTATTACTCTTATAATTAACTTTTACTATATTCCCTCTCTTAAGCTCATTAAATTAATTATAATGAGGAGGGGTTTACATATAAAATGTTTTGCTATTAAATATTTCCTCCAATTAAAATTATCAAAATCCTCAACCAGGGCCATAGTAAGGGGGAGGGTTGCCTACTCTCCAGACGCAATAGCGAATTTTTTATCATACTTTATAGTTCTATACAGGCGCATTTTAAAATTTTACCTCATCCGCCATAATAAGTTGCTACAGCCTCGTCACCAACAACTTTTTTAAAATACGCCACTAGTAGAACGTAACAGTGACTTAGGTGAAACACGCACGTTTAAGGCCGCTGCTGGGGTGTGTTATGTGTGCTCCACGCTTAAAGGGGCACGGCAAACTAAGTTGATGACAATAAAAAGGTTTTTTTTACCAAAGTAAAAATATTAAGGGCTCCCCAAATTGATGCCGCATTAGTATGCCCCGCGAATTTTAGTACTAGCCCTACGCGCATTAAAATATTAGATGGCTTTTACTGGAAAATTTTTGTTCATATTTACCAAAATTATTAAATAAAAAGAAAAAAAGAACCGTTGTTACCACTTTATTTGGGCACTTGTAGCACTGACCACTTAATCTGAATCTGATTAAATCTGCTAGTTCATAAAATAATTAAGATAATTATTAATTTAATGAGATTATAGTACATAGTAAAAAATAATACAGCATAACATAATAAAAATATTAACTTTTTTTATTCAAAGATTGCATTAAAAAAAAAATTGGAAATTTTAAAGACAGCGAATTCAAAAATGAATCGAGACAATATATTGGAACAAGATAGATTGAGAGTAAGTATCATATAAATTAGAAAACGATTGGTATTTCTTTAACTGTACTCCACAATTGCAAAAATTAAAAAAATATATTGAAACGTTCTAGGAGTCCTTAGATAGAGCTGGTTCGGGCCCTATTATATCGCAATAAATTATGCTAATCAATCAATGCGTATCCGAAAAATTAAGGAATTTAGAAAACCAAGTGGTCTCAAAAATAGAGGATCAAATTTTTTCAAAGTTTGATAAACTATCAATAAATTCATCGAAATCCAAGCCTCAAACTGTTGAGGTAAGATTTAACCAATGTAATAATTATAAGTTAATATTTATTATAAGCCACAATTTTAAATTTCTCATAAAACTATTAATAAATAATATATAATATAATGTAATATTATATAAAATAACGTAATGAACATAACAATAAATTATTTCTAATTGAGTATAATTTCTTTTCATTAATTAGGTATGTAAGAAAAACGATTACTTTTTCTTATGTTTTGAACACCGATCAGGTCCACTAGATGGCATAATGGTCGGTGTTCATGTTAGGTGAAAAACATGAGTTTTATCATTAACCTCTATAAAATTAAAAATGTATTGTAATATAATTTATCTATTTTAAAAATCAAATCTTTATATAAAATATTAATAATTGTTNAACATTTTTTTTTGAACTATAACTTGAGTCTGTAAAATTTTTATTTTTAAATGTATAGTAAATAGAAAAATTATTAAAATCTAAAATAATTTGAAAATATTGCTTAAATTGTAATTTAAACTTATGAATTTAATTTAAATTATGAAATATCTCAGTAATTTGAATGTGTAGTGAGTAAAGTCATTGATAATAAATTATTAAAAATGTTTAGATTCGATGCAGTACAAACGACAGAAAAACAAAAACAACAACACAATATCCGGTACCAAGTTGTTGGCCTAAAGAAAATATATTTAAAAGTAAACCCTTGGTTCTAGAAAATAAAAGTAAGTATTTTACATTAAAATTACATTATTGAATTTTATAATAAAAAATTGTATTTTTAATTTAATATTTCAAGGAATCTTTAGTTCAAGTTCATCAGGATCTTTGGGACATATAAAAAAAAAAAATAATGTTGAAGAAGAAGAAGATGATGTTTTATCTTATTAATTATTTATATTTTAAATATAATAAAATTTAGTTTAAATATGATACATTATGGTTTTTTTTATATAATTACGAGGGTTCGACACTTAATGCATTTATAAAATTTGATTGAACTACGTCAGAAACATTTACATAACAAATTATCATAAGTGTATACAGTACCACAGGAATATATTTTTTTATTTTGGTGGGGAATAATCTTCCTAAACTAAATTTTTAATAATGTACATAAGTTTAGTATTAAGAAAAACTAATATGTATTAAATCAATAAACAAAATTATCATTAATGTATTTGGGATAACTAAAATAAACTTTATAAATGTATAAAGTCCTGATAATAATAACTATGTGATTTTGGACATTATGTAGATAAAAATGTATTCCTAACATAAATTTAATGCATAAATAGAACAATAAGGATTTTTACACAAATACATTCATTTTATACACTTTCAATAAAAATTATCTAATTTTGAGTAAAAATAAATTGTATATATTAGTATGTATTTTTACTCACTATATAGGGGGAAATAGAATTTAATATTAAACAAGGGTATCAATTTAATTTTTTTTTTTGAGGTGTGTGAGATTTCAAGTAGGCTATTTGGAAATTTCATCAGGCCATATAAAAATAGATAAATTTACTTAAATAAATGATTATTCTTTTAATTTTTCCTTAAATTATGAATCACAATCAACTTAAGTAGTAAATATAAATTATAATAATACTTACTGTTTTAATATTATATAATATAACATAGCATGGAGGTCGTAGCAATCGTTGAAATTTATATTTATTTATTCATTACTGTTATCAATTATTGTTGTTAACTGCATGGAAAAAAAGTCGTGATAAAAATAGATACAAATATCAATATCTCGCGACCAGTACGAATATCAATGGTCCGTATGATAAATTTAGTATACTAAAATAATTGATAGTAGAATATTTGTTTATTGACCCATATAACCAAAATAATACAATGTTTTTGAAATTTGAATTGATGTACAGAGTAATTGACTAACTATGCCTCACGAATCTTCTTTAAAAATATTAGTGTTACCATTAGTGATGGGAAATTTGATTCGATCAGATGAATCAACTCTTTCGAATCAGATCATTTAAATGAATCGATTCTTTGAATCGATTCAGTGATTCAAACAATAATTATTCATATTGAACTTAATTAAGAGAAAAATGTTTTATCATGATAATGTTTAGACACTAAAAGATCAAATAGTTATACAACGATTTTTATGATCATTATTTTTTTTGATAGTAAATAGTAACAGTTGCTTGTTGGTAATTTGGGGGGTCCAGATATAACATTTTTTTATTATGCATTGTTTTTTAAATTCCGTTAAAAATATTCCTAGTCAGAAAAGTGGTCTGATGTTTTTTCGCTTATCCATTTTTTGGTTCGCATTAATGGTATTTAGAAAATCAGAAGTCAATATATATATATATATATATTTTAATAATATGTGGTAATCAAAACAGTAAATTATTTTATTGTTTTGCAGGAATGTTTATAATAATTATTTTATTAGATATTGTATTACACAAAATTATAAAAAATATATTTATAAAATACACATATATTAGTGTTTCAAAAAATTATATTATTTATTTTTTGTTTCAAAAAACATAAAAAAATCATTAGAGTATCCCTAAACAAGGTTCCTGTTGAAATTTAAGCTCTTAACATTAATTTTTAGAGGTGGCGATTTTCAAATTTCGAAAAACTATGTTAATGATGTATATTAATTATACATATATTGAATCAGTTTTGCTCAGTCTTTTTTTTTCAAATGCAATGATTCATTATTGCTTCTTTTTCATCTCGCCCTCATTAAGTTAACAAATTTCTTACAAATTAAAAATGATCAATTTATATTTTAATTGTATTAGTAACAGGCTGTCTTAGGGTGGTGATACCTAGATGGGCTGTTTAATATTGAAATTGCTTTTAATAATAGGGGAAAGCCGCTGGTAAAAAAAGTAGTAATATATAAAAATATGAGGTTCATTTCAGAGTATTAGAGAGCATAAGCCACCCAGGTTATTAGACCACTATGAAATAAAAATATTCATATTTATCTTAAACAATTTAAGATAGGGGTATATTATTTAGATACAAGACTAATTTAAATAAAATGTTAATATAACTTTTTTACAACATATAAATTTTAATTTTTTTTTTTTAATTACAAAAGTAAATGTGTTATAAATTATAATTTTACATTTTAAATCTTTTAGAAATAAATATTAATCACCACATGGCCGTGGTTATAGTTTATTGAAAATAGTAATAATACTTAAATTTAAAAATCATTTTAATACTCCCAATAGAAAAATTTATCAAATATGTTAAGGGATAAGTTCTGTATAGTAGAAATTATTTTTATTTAAAAATTGTTTATTTCAAGTTGGTTATTTCTTATTATCATAAAAATAATACGAATAATACATATATAACATTGTTTTGGGTTGCTATACTGTAGAACATGATGGCAAGTTCAAACATGTTAATGCAAGTTAAAGTTGGTTACAGTATTAAGCAATACTTTGTACTAATAATCATCATTCACATCAGTGAACAGAGTAATTTGTTCGAAGTGCTTTATATTTTTCAATATAAAATTGGATTTAAGTTTAAATTACAATTTTTTTTTTCAAAATGAGTCGTAAAACTAGTGTAATTTGGGATTATTTTACAATAGTTGAAAATGACAAAGCTAAATGTGGTTTATGTAAAATAATTCTTAAATTTAATCAATCGTCAACAACAAATTTGTTAAGACACATTAAATCAAAACATCAGACAATTGATTTGTCCAAACGTCAAAGGCCTAATTTTGATCTGGAAGAAAATAATCCAGATGAACCTCCTACTTATGACATTATATCAGCATCAACATCATCCAATCCAGGTACCCCTTTAATTTCTTCAGCTAATAGAGAAAGATCTCCCATTTCTTATCATCAGTCATCATTATTAAATCGTCCACAACAATCCCATATTTCTAATTATTTGAGAAAACCAGTAACTGCATCTAAAAGGCAATTAATTGATCAACAGGTAATAAAAATGATAGTTAAGGAATATTACCCAATCAGTATTGTTAATGATGTTGAATTTAAAAAACTTATACATATGTTGAACCCTGAATATTCTCTTCCATGTAGAAAAACCATTTCGACATCATTATTGCCTGTTCTATATAATAAAGTGCATAAAGAGGTCCAATCTAACCTAGAATTGAATGCACAGTATGTTGCCCTAACAACAGATGCATGGACATCTGTAAAAAATGAGAATTATATGGCAATTACTATACATTTCATTAATCAGAACTGCATTTTAAAATCATACTTACTTTCGTGTGCTGCTTTTAAAATGAGACACACAAGCGAAAACATAAAAGATTTCTTACAAAATACAGTTAGGCAATGGGGTTTGCAAAATAAAGTAGCGGCTTGTACTACTGACAATGCTGCAAACATTACTTCAGCAATTCGTTTATGTCAGTGGAGACATATTTCATGCTTTGCTCATACCCTAAATCTTATTGTACAATCTTCTCTTGAACAAATAAAAGAAACTAGATCTAAAGTTAAAACTATTGTGGAATATTTCAAAAGAAGTACATATGCCACTGAAAAATTAAACCAAATGCAGGAACAATTAGGTCATTCTCCAGTTTATACATTGATACAAGACGTAGTCACTCGCTGGGATTCGGAACGGAGCAAATTTTGTTCCGTTCCAATATTTGTTCCGGAACGGAACTTTTCCTAAAAATCGTTCCGACTATTTGCTCCGGAACGGAACTATTAGTAAAATTCGTTCCGGCCATTTGCTCCGGAACGGAACTTTTCCTAAAAATCGTTCCGACCATTTGTTCCGGAACGGAACTATTAGTAAAAATCGTTCCGGCTATTTGCTCCGGAACGGAACTTTTCCTAAAAATCGTTCCGACCATTTGTTCCGGAACGGAACTATTAGTAAAAATCGTTCCGGCTATTTGTTCCGGAACGGAACTATTAGTAGAAATCGTTCCGGCTATTTGCTCCGGAACGGAACTTTTCCTAAAAATCGTTCCAACCATTTGCTCCGGAACGAAACTATTAGTAAAAATCGTTCCGGCTATTTGCTCCGGAACAGAGTGCTAGCTACAAATTGATTCGCAAAAATGCTTTGGAACGTTCCTATTTATTTTCACCCCTCTGATATTTATTAATCACATTTAAATTATTATTATATTTTTTTATATTAATCTACTATTAAATTTTTATCTTTTATATAGAGGTGGGCCACTTACGGGTCCAGATCTTTGTACTTAAGTCCAACTGGAGAGCGTTATATTCAGCCTATTCAATTATTTTAACGTATTGCATTGCTATAACTAGATTTATTTTAGCAGTCGCTTTTCTGAATTTATAAAAACAATCTTATTATTGACCAGTGATGGAACTTAAATTTTAATATTACCGTGTCATTTTTACCATAGAGTTACTCTATGGTTTTTACACGTAAATAACAATGCAAATACAATACAAATATCTACTGATCAAAAATTTGCATGAAGTTGTTTTTTTTGTAACATTAGAAAGTAAACTTGTCACGAATATGAGTTGACAGCATACATTCTATTCGAGGGCATCTGGACGGATTAACCGTTCTTTTAGTAGCTGATTTTTTAATAGACAATAAAAATAATTTAAATTTAAATAATTAATTCCCCAACAATTTCAATTATATCCAATGTTTCAATTTGATTAAGTACCAAATACATATTTATTACTAGATATTTTTATTATAGATTTCATATAACACAAAGAACTATATAACGTTATCTATAAAAATTTTTCATGGTTATGAATAAATTATTAACTACAAATGTAATACTTGTAAAACTTTAACGTTTAATAAGCGGTAATTTCGAAAGAATATCATAATATTTAAATACAAAAAGTTGCTTATAAATTATTACTATGGTTTCTATTTAAATGATTTATTACAGTAAAATTGAGCTTTACTGATAAATTTACAGGAAGCATTGATAACACAATTTCTTGACTGCATTTTAATCTTAAGCACCTGAAATATTATACTATTTTTTTAATTCACATACAATTTTTTATTTAATAATCTAAATTTCAAATTTGAAGTTGAGTTATAAGTTATGGTAACAAATAAACCTTTTTTTTCATTATAAACTTTCAAAAAATAGGTTAAAAATTATAATTTGCACTGATTATTTTTAACATATTAAAAACGTTAAGCAATAATTATTTATGGCATAATTATTAATATTTTGCGCAAAGCATTTGAATAAATGTTGCAATAATTATATGGATTACATATTAAATATAAAAACTCCATACGCAAAATATTATTATAGCTATTAATATAATTTAATTTTTTATCCGAAACGTTTTTTAGAATAAGCTCCTTTCCGGAGTAAATTGTTGGAACAATTTTTAGCATAGGTTGCATTCCGGAGCGAATACTCGGAACTATTTTTAGGAAAAGTTCCGTTACGGAACAAATGACCAGAACAAATTTTACTAATAGTTCCGTTCCGGAGCAAATAATCGGAACGATTTTTAGGAAAAGTTCCGTTCCGGAGCAAATGNATTTTGTTTCCTAAATAAAATTTTTATTAATATTACAACTTTAAATAGCAAATACGACAGTTAAATGTTTTTTGATCTTCCAATTATTTTTGTAAAAATAAATAAATTAAGGATAAATAAAAACCATCAAATTGAATTTGATGATTTTTATTTAGTCAGCGATAACCAATAATTATATCTTTTTGACAAAAATTATTACTTTAATCAATTATTTCTATAGTTGTAATTTTTATTACTAGTTTGCGGGTTCTGTGTTAAAAAAACATTGTATCTTACACATGCACTCATGGCTACTATAAAAAAAAGTTTACTGATCAGCGACCATCCTGCGTAGATATACTCGTACAGGATGATTCATTTATCTTGAGTACTTAATTTAATCAAAAAATAAAAATTATATTGAGAATTTTTTATTTGTTTCTTTTAGGTACATGTTTTTCTCAATTTATCATGAAGTATTTTTTACATTCATTCCTCACACTTTTTAAGGGTGTCAACTTTATTTTTTCAAATAACAACATATATAATTAACTAGTTTATTTAATAGATAGTGATTTATTTGATGGATCTATAACAACTTTTAGACCAGTATTTTGGAAGTTATTAGCATGTTATAGTGATAGCTGGAGGTGAAACGCAGGTGTTATTTTTATCACTAGTAGTCTGTTCTCCACCTAAGTATAATAATGCCAATAACTACCGAAATACTGGCTCGATAATTGTTATCGACCAGTCATTTTTTTAATTAGATCATTATTTACCGAATAAGCTACTTAATTATGTGTATAACACACAAAAAAAATACTACAATGTTACATACCCTTCTCACTTAAATCCTATGTTAAAAGTAATATTTATTCAAAAAGTTGTACTTCAAATTGACTATAGTTATTAATATTAATAACATAAAGTACCTATTAAGTATAAAAATAGTAAGTGTAAGAAGATAACATCATTTTTTCAGCTTATTAAGCTACCTCAAGGTAGAAGTATATTTACACATATCATATAACCTAACTAGAAAATTAGTTTAATAATTTTATTTTTAATTTCAAGATAGTTGAATACTTTCAAAATTTAATATCTATTTATATTGAAACTAATAGTAAAAAAAATATTTACTGAAGTTTTTCGTTACATAATTAAATAGTTTAAATTACTATAAATTTTATAAAGTGTTATTCAACTCAAACTAAATTTTGATTATTATTAATAAAAAATATTTATTGTATTAAATTTAACGAAGTAATAATGTAATCTCTATAGAAAAATCATCTTGGAAATTTAAATCGGCACATACAACGAAATCACCGTCAATTGTACGAAACTATATTGATACAATCAAATGAAATCTCACCCACCTCATCAGGACAAATATCTACTGCTAAAACAAATAAAAATAAAAGAAAGAAAGTAAGAGTATTATCTATTTATATATATTTTATGTGTATAATTTTTAACATTCAAGTTGTTACACAAAAAATTGACTTACCATGGGAGAAGGCAATTTATTTGATAAGAAATGGATCTTGTTACAATAAATTAATTTTTATATCTCTTATAAAAAAAAAATATCAGGTGCGAGTGAATGTTTCCTTTAATCTCTATTATTTTTAAGTTAATAAAAATCACAAAATTATTCGGGTTTTATATTTTCGGGTTATACATTTTTAGGAAGATGAATTTGTGACTGTCAAAGTTAAGGTTAGTCGTACTTCAATAATTGATGGCTGTATTGAGATGATCACGCTAAATGGTAGACCTTTTAAATCAATAGAAGATTCTGGCTTTAGAAAAGTTGCTGATCCTCTTTTTAAAGCAATTAATTTTATACCAAATGCAGAAATGATTCGCGAAAACTTAATTGCACGAGCTATTTATATTCGGCAACTTATTTCTAACGAGATAAAGGATAATTTTTTTTGTTTAAAAATAGATTCGGCTACTCGCCATGACCGAAATATACTAGGTATTAATGTACAGTACATAAAAAATTCAAAGATAGTAATACGCACTTTAGCTATTACTGAAATTGATAGTAGTAAGTCTGTCGATTTGAAAAATATAGTTCTTAATGTACTGGAAAGGTATAATCTTAAGACTGAAAAAATATTTTCTATTACAACGGATAACGGAGCAAATATGCTGAAAACAGTTACATTATTAAAATATATGGAATGTGATGTTGAAATAAATAATCAATTTTTAATTGACAACGAGAGTATAGAAAAAGATCACGACGATGTTGTTGTTGAGGAAGAGGAAGAAGAAGATGACGAATATGAAGAGGAAGAAGAGAACGGAAGTGAAAATAGTGTAGAAGATGATGATTATAATGATGTACTGAATATAGTGAATGATGATTTAAATATAATAGACTACATCATTGGAGGTACGAATATATTATCAGGTATGCGTTGTGCAGCTCACACACTCCAATTATCAATTTTAGATGTCCTTAAAAATAATTGCATTTTAAAAATACTTTCTAAAGCTCGATCTATCGTCAAAATTTTAAGAAGACCAAATATGCAGACAAGTTTAAAAAATTTAAAAACAAAAAAACCACCAATAGACTGTTTTACTAGATGGGGATCTACCTTTAATATGATTGAAGGTCTTTTACAATGCCAACATTTTTGTGAACTTATGGCACCACAAAATAAATTAATATTCATGAATAATGAAAGTTGGAGTAAATTGAAAGATCTTTATAGAGCTTTAGAGCCTGCAAAAATAGCATGTACAAAACTACAAAGTGAGGTATTAACGCCAGGAGACACAATAGCTATTTGGAAAAAATGTATTCTTAATACTAAAAAAATAAATAATAATTTATCTAATAAAATTGTAGAATGTATGGAACACAGACAAATTTTACTTTTTGATAGTGATTGTTTTTTATCTGCGTTATTATTAGACACTAGGTATAATGTTTTATTAACAAATTTTGAAATAATACGGGCTAAAACTCATTTGGTTAACCTCTGGAAATTAATAGAAAATGATAATTTTACTTCAACATCCCAAGTCTCAACACTTTCAGAAAGCTTTCATAGTGATTATTTAGAATTAGAACTTCGACAGTACGAAAAAAATAATACAAGGGAAGTACTAAACGAAAACCAAGCTTTAGAAGATGAAATTGAAAAATTTCTTCAAAAACCTAGAGACAAACAGAATGAAAGTATAATGGATGTATGGGATAAATATAAAATGAAATATCCTAAATTGTATATATTGTCTGTTATAGTTTTAGCACTACCAACAACACAGGTAAATTTTATATTCTAATAAAATAGTTATAAATTAAAATAAAATATAATTTCGAATTATTTTAATTTACTTATATTCAAATATAATTTCATAGTTTTAGCATGACTTTTTTTTTGTAGGTGACGGTTGAACGCCTATTTTCTAGCGTAAAATTCATTTTATCAGATCAAAGAGCACGTTTGAATAAAAATATTCTCGATGATTTAATGGTAGTTAGACAATATCATTTATTTAATAAAAAGTAACTGTGATAAAATTACATAGAAGTAAAGNTGATAGTTCATTTTTTTTTTCTTTGTACAGCAAGAACAGATACTTTGTTTAGTTTTGATATATAAAACTAATGTACGAGATTTTTTTAAATTAACATTACTCAACATACATATTATTAAATTTAATAATTATTAAACAATAATAAACTTATATTTTTAGCTTCGAAGCGTAGCTTAGAAGGTATTAATTTTACCATGATATGTTTTTTTTGTGTGTCTGTTAAATCATTTTCTCTGATCTCATCGAACTAATTTCTTTTAACGATAAGAAATCGTATCTAGTCGAAGACATCACCCTCAAATATTAGAAAAAATTCTCATTATCAAATAAAAAGTTATTTAACCAGCTTTCTCCATACAACAAATTAAAATCATTAATTTCTAATATTTTTAAAATATTTATTGTCGATTTGGTTTGATATAATAAATAGAATTAACTACAAAATTAAATCATATATTTGTATTTATTCATTTTTTAATTGTATTTGTGTGTGTTACTATCAGTCTGTAATATTACAAATTTTTTACTTACTGAAAATTATAATTTATTTTTGTTTATATCAGCGCCATTGTGGCATTAGTATTAAGTGTCCTCCTTATGCAAATTGCTGTATATAAGATTTTATGATTCATGTATAATACATTTAATTGTCATAATTATATATTGGAAAATTCATTCTACTTTCATTCATAAAGTCCACTCCCCTTATTCCTTTTCCTCAACATAGCCTGAATTAAGACAAAATAAAACAACGAACGTTAACGAACCCGGGTGAATACCACCGGGCGCTTCGTTTATCAGTAATAAAATATTATAATACGCTCAATTGAGTACATTTTTTTAACTACTTTTGATTGGTTTTTTTAGTTAAAGTAAATCATTAAAATTAATTAAGTTTTGAATATTTCAATTTTAGAATCTTTTTAAATACAAAAAGTTGCTTATAAATTATTACTATGGTTTCTATTTAAATGATTTATTACAGTAAAATTGAGCTTTACTGATAAATTTACAGGAAGCATTGATAACACAATTTCTTGACTGCATTTTAATCTTAAGCACCTGAAATATTATACTATTTTTTTAATTCACATACAATTTTTTATTTAATAATCTAAATTTCAAATTTGAAGTTGAGTTATAAGTTATGGTAACAAATAAACCTTTTTTTTCATTATAAACTTTCAAAAAATAGGTTAAAAATTATAATTTGCACTGATTATTTTTAACATATTAAAAACGTTAAGCAATAATTATTTATGGCATAATTATTAATATTTTGCGCAAAGCATTTGAATAAATGTTGCAATAATTATATGGATTACATATTAAATATAAAAACTCCATACGCAAAATATTATTATAGCTATTAATATAATTTAATTTTTTATCCGAAACGTTTTTTAGAATAAGCTCCTTTCCGGAGTAAATTGTTGGAACAATTTTTAGCATAGGTTGCATTCCGGAGCGAATACTCGGAACTATTTTTAGGAAAAGTTCCGTTACGGAACAAATGACCAGAACAAATTTTACTAATAGTTCCGTTCCGGAGCAAATAATCGGAACGATTTTTAGGAAAAGTTCCGTTCCGGAGCAAATAGCCGGAACGAATTTTACTAATAGTTCCGTTCCGGAGCAAATGGTCGGAACGATTTTTAATAATAGTTCCGTTCCGGAGCAAATAGTCGGAACGATTTTTAGAAAAAGTTCCGTTCCGGAGCAAATAGCCGGAACGAATTTTAATAATAGTTCCGTTCCGGAGCAAATGGTCGGAACGATTTTTAGGAAGAGTTCCGTTCCGGAGCAAACTCGGAACGGAACGAAATTTCACGTTCCGGAACAATATTTTTGTTCCGTTCCGAATCCCTGGTCACTCGGTGGAATTCCACAATTCATATGCTTCAACGGTTTTTGGAATTGAAAATTCCTTTATTATCATCTTTAGCTGATTTAAATTATGATGTTAATTTAACTACTGAAGATTGGCAAATAATAAGTAAATCTTGTGACATACTAAAACGTTTTGAGGAAATAACTCTTGAAATGAGTAGTGAGAAAGGAGTAACAATATCTAAAACAATTTTATTTAGCCAGGCATTGATTAATTAGTGTAATAAATTAATGACACATCAGTCAATTCCAACAATAAAAAATTTTATAAATAAACTAACGGAAGAGACCAATAAGAGATTTGGTGAAATTGAAAAAAATATGTTATTAGCTGAGGCTACATTATTGGATCCTCGGTTCAAAAAATATGGATTTAAAAATCTTACTGCTTTTATAGATGCAAAAAATTCTTTAATAAATAAAGGAAAAGTTTTAATAAATGAAAAAAATGTTCAGCAAAATAACATATTACCTAACACAAATCCACCAACAAATAATAATAGTCCAAGCAAAGAGGATTCAATTTGGAATGACTTCGATTTGGAAGTTACTGACATAGTTCAATCTCGAGATCCCAAAGCCTTGATGATTATTGAAATTGATAAATATCTTCAAGAACCTTTATTACAAAGGGCAAATGATCCATTAAAATGGTGGAACGAAAACAAAAACGTTTATCCAAATTTGTTTGAATTAATGAAAAGGCGTTTTTGTATACAAGCTACTTCTGTTCCTAGTGAACGTGTATTTTCCAAAGGTGGCCAAGTTGTGTCGGAAAAAAGAAGCAGACTCAAAAGTGAAAGGGTTGAACAAATAATATTTTTAAATTTTAATTTAAAATAAACTAATAAGATATACTTCATACTTGATTGTTTTTCTAATTTTTTAATTGTCAACAAGTTGTTAGTTATAATTTTATTTTATTTATGGTTTTTCCTTAAACTCTGTTATTTTTATTAAACAATAACAAAAACAAAAAGTAAACTAACGATAAAAATTGTATTATATAATTAAATAGGTATAATTATTATATTTTTCAATCGTTTAAAATAATGGCAACAGCAAAAAATATTAAATACATACTAAGAAATACTTTGTCGTTGTCCATAACGGTTCACATAAGCATTTTTAAGATGCATAATATAATTTGGCCTGTAGTTTGCTATAACAATGATAACGTAGATCATGGTGTATTTAGGTGTGCTTTTATTGCGAGATAAGCTAAATTTCAGTGTTACCCATTAACTGATTCTTCTACCACACTAAATCACTTCAATCGAATCATCTGGGGAATCAATTCATTCGTAAATTACTCATCCCTGCTTAGTACATACTAAAATATCAGTGTTACCCATGAACCGATTCTTTTTACCACGCTGAATCAATTCAATCAAATCTAGTTGTCGAATCGATTCACTGAATCGATTCATTCGTGAATTACTCATCCCTAGTTACCATATATGTAATTATTTTATTTGTTATAGATCTTTGTTGAGCTGCTTGAAGAAAAATAAAGATTCAATCTTCATCCCTTAACCCTTAAATCAATATCAACTTTAGTTTTTCATATAGCAACCTAGTTTTTTTTTATTAATCTTTAGCATAAAAAAAATAATCAATTTTAATAAATTCTAAGCCAGACATCACTATTTAAAGTTTAGGAGATTTAACAAATAAAACAGTATTCGGGTTAATACAATTTCATTAATATTTAGTGTACCTATAAGAACTATCAGTGTATTGTACCTCGACGTTTAAAACTTAGGTACACTTGCTATGTTTTCATTATCTATGATTTCGCGCCTAACATTATATGTTATTAAATAGTACGTCATAACAGATTATGGTTCATTAAAGACTACGAAAAATCGTTTGTTTATATTTAAGATAACATTAAACTAACAAATATGGTAGTATTTGATTCTGTGAATATGTATGTTTTACTGTTATGTTGATTTTTTATTGCGCTTCGTCCCTTCCTACGTTAGAGTTTATATTTAATAGTCTGTTCAAAAAATAAATTATGTAATGTATAATTTTATCAAAAATATTATATTTTAAAATATAAAAATTTAAATATATTCATCAATATTATCTATTGAAGTAAGTATTCAAAATGCCAGCCATCCATTTCTAAACACGCCTCCATGAGTTTTTGAATTTCATTAGAGGTAACTTTTTTAATAATATTTTTTGGTATTGACTTTTATATTCTTACTATAATTTCTTCTTTATTATTAGGGGACTGCTGGTTCACACAGGAAAAAATCCATACACGTTAAATCAGGACTAAGTGGTGGCCATGGAATATCACTTTTTATATCCATCCAATTATCTCTATATGTTCGAGATAAATATTGTTGAACAATTTTAGAGTTATGAGCAGGAGCTTCGTCCTGCTGCCCACAATATCTCTTCTTTTTTCCAAAAAAATTGGTAAATCATTTTTTAAAAATGATAAATAGTTCAAAACTATTTAAGTTGCCATCAAAAAAATAAGAACCTATCAACTGATCATCTAGTAATCCATACCATACATTCACAGACCATCTATTTTGAAAGTGGTGTTCATGTGTAATGTTTGGATTTTTATCAGACTAATAATAATGGTTGTGTCTATTGATTGTTGGGTGATTTTTAAAACGACTTTCATCAGTCCACAGAATTTTATTAAGAAAATTGGTGTCTTCATTCATTTTTGAAGACATGATTGCCAACCATGTTTTTCTTTCAAAATCAGTGGGTTGTAAATTTTGTACTATGGTAACCTTAAAATTGTGGAATTTATTTATTTTTGCTATTTTCTGAACAGTATAGTAATTTAATCCTATTTCACCTGTAATATTTAAGTATACTTTTAAACTGAATAGTTTTAATGGTAAAAGAAATAAATATTTCATTTATTAATCTTTATTTATCCTATTGAAATTTTTATAATTAACTTTTAAAATTTTTTGATTGTTATGCAATTTCTTCAGATATTTTTCAATATAGTTCTTTTGTTTGTCTTTAGAACTTTTATGTCTTTTTACCAAATAATTTTAAAAGTTTGTCTCGTCATATTAATTCATGATAGGTAACAATA